TGGCTAAGATTTCCCAACTCCTGCTCAGCTCTTCCCTACTTCCTGGGCACGCCTTGCAGCAGCTCTTCCTACCTGCTGTGCCAACTCCTATGATCACTCATGTCTCCGCATCTACACAGATGTTTTCCATCTGCTGACTGAAGTGCCTGTTTCTTTTCCCACCTGATAATTTCTACTCGGCCTTAAGATTTGGTTCCAATGATACCTGTCCCAGGGAACCTGTCATGTAGGTTCCTTGTCCTCCTCAGCCCTCTGCTCATGCCTCTGCTGCAGTTCAACATACCGAATATTTTCTGATCTCTCTTAACAGACATGAAGATCTTTGACAGCAGATACTGTGTCTTATTTCTTTTTGTACTCTTAGCATCTGGAAAGTGCTCAACACTATCTAAGTGCAGAAAAAATCTGTACTGGATGAATAAAAAGCCTCAGAACTGCATGGGGAGAGGTCAGAGTGTATGGGTATTGCCATCACCTCAACCTGATTTTTTTCCACACCCTTGTAAGTAAAACACTGGTTACTAATTCCCCAATTCAAAAAGGAATAGAGTCAGAGGGGTCACAGTCTCCCCCAGAGACCATGAAGCTCTCCAATGAGCTCTGATGCATTGTGGGACTATCATTTTATAATATCTGCTTTTGCTTTYTAGAGTCCTTGTTTTCCTTGTGCTCTTACTTGTTTTCCTAAATAAGTGAGATCTTGCAGAGTTTGGGGTATTACCCTGAAGGGGCTATTAGATGCATAAAAACAGTCTCCTAGCTTAGTCAACCAATATGTGGAATGAGTGGCTAAAAAAGAAATTTTAAAGACAATTTTGCACATACTTTAAGTTTTCACAGAACTTGAGAAGCAAGCAACAGCAGTTGTAACAGCAGCTAATATTTACTGAGTCATGCCCTATGCTAAGTGTTACATGTACCACTATTTAACATAAAAAAACCCATTTTACTAATGAGCAGAGAATTGAGGGAGCAATCTCAAGGGAACACAGCTGCCAAGTAGCAGACAGATAAGAATTCAAGTCTGCTGAATCCTAGTCCAAGCTTTGTACCACTTTATTACACTCTGCTTCTCAAATTAAAAAAAAAAAAAAAAAAAAATCCTTCACACTTCTCTTCAAGAGGGCAAATCTCCAACACCAAGATACTCAATGAGTTCTCCATGAACTGGAATTTGCTTTCAGCTGGGCGCTGTGGCACATCCCTGTATTCCCAAATACTCAATAAGCCAAGGCAGGAGGATCCCAAGTTCAAGGCCAGCTTCGGCAACTTAGTGAGACCCTGTCTCAAAATAAAATAAAAAGGGCTGGGGTATAGCTCGGTGGTAAAGTATTCCCGGGTACAATCCTAATACCGCAAGCGCACAGCCAGGGTCTGGACCACACGGTCTGGCTCCACAGTCTGCCCTCAAACACTCAGCTCTTCAGCTGTCCTGAGTCTATGTTATCTCCTGCCACACCAGCTCTGCTCCTCAGCTTTTCCCTTCTCGTCAGTCCTCGTTATCAGCACTTCTAGGGTGGCTCTTCAGCCTCTGCTCACTGCAGGCTGGGGGAACGCTATCCCTGAGCGCTTGCTTCTTCTCTCTCTGGTTGGACTCTGTTCCCAACTTTTAAGATTCTTTTTTTTTTTTATATGAAACAAACCTAGGAAAAGGATACTCTTTAAAAGCATCACAGGAAAATTTTATGCTCAACTTAGGCTCAAAAAAACATGATATATGCACCATAAATATTTTTTGACTAAATAAATATTAGATTCAGAGTTAGACTATTTCTGACATTTTAGACAGTCACTATCAAATATTAATTTATGTTAAGGTTCTTGCTTAGAACTAAAATTCTTAGCACTTGCTACCACCCAGGGCATTACAGCAGGGCAAGTCTCTAACCCTGAGAAGCTTACTGTTTTCCAAAGCACCAGGTTCAAAGCGTTAAGGGCTGCCCCCCATACTCATTTGTTTCCAGCTTCCCTGATGCAAGCCCGATCTCTTCCACTCTCCTCAGTCTTTTCTGAATCTCTCTCTTCAACTTTCCCCGAGGGTTTCCCTGCAGACCTTCTGGACTATCGCAACTCCTGAGTGCTGTCACAGTCTAACCCACCTTGTACAGTTCTACCATTTCATTTTTAAATTATCATTTGGATCACATCTAGAGCTTGCTCATAAACCACAACTCGCCAAGTTCCTCATTTTGGTATGAAAGCTTCTCCACAGTTTGCTCCCACCCTGACCTTTTCAACACCATGTTTCCGTCCATATATTCTTRCACCTGACATAAACTTACCAAATGCTTATGAAGGACACGGAGGAGTTAAAGTGACATTGACTAAAACAGTGCTTATCATTAAGGAGCTTATGGTGTCTAACAGGGCAGAGGAAATACTTACAAAGATAGCGCTAATATAAGGAAGAAAATAAGTGCAACAAGAAAGGAAGTTGTTCCAGGAAGTTCACAAGTGAATTCTGACATGGGTTTGGGGTGTCTTAGAAGAGGTGGCATGTGCTAAGGTCTTGAAGGGAAGGCAGAGCTTGGATGTGTGAGAAGGGGAAGGTCACTGCAAAAATGAGGAAAAGAAGAGAAATGAGAATGTATGAGAAAAAGTTTGATTTCCACACACAATATATAAAATAAACCAATAAGAGGGAAAGCCGCTGAATAAGTAGGTTTAGGGCTAAATCCAGACAATGATGAATGCTTGCCAAGGTCTGGACCTTGATGTTTATTTATCCAACAAGTGCTTACTGACTATCTACAAAGGGCCAGAGGCTGGACAGGCACAGGTAGAGCGGAGAGCAGGAGAGCCAYGGGGCTGGAGCTCTCGCAGCTCACAGCCTCCCACGCAGTAGTAAGGGTCCCACAGAGGACTCGTCATCGCAGGGGTACCTAAGAGCACTCTGGAACCAATGTGTAAGATGAACTGCATAAGGAAAGCAGCGGAAAGGAAGCCATCTGTCACACAAGTACAGGGAGGGATGAGGCCCAAGATAGTGGCAATGAATAAAGGCTTAAAAGTCATCGAGGAAGACTAGAAAACAAAGCCAACCATAAAGTTAGAAGACAAATGAGTGGCAGCTGGCTCTGGGGGCGGGACTGGCCAGGAAGGGAGTGGGAGGGAGCTCTCTGGCTCAATGGTAAGGTCTATATCTTGACAGAAGTCTGGTCACACAGGTTGTGCATTTATCAAAACTCAACAAACGTCCACCTAACCTCTCTCATTTTATGTGAATTTCATAGAACAAAGAAAGTCCTGAAAACACTGACGTCAAGCTGAAGTGCTTAGGGGTAAAGTGTATACTACCCACAATTTACTTTGAACTACATTAAAAAAGGTAAGATGGACTGGTGGATGGAGCTATGATAAAGCAGAAAGCAAAATATGAACTGGAGACCCTCAAAGGAGGTATATRGTGTCATCATACAATTTTTCAATTCTTACTGTTTGAAAAAAATTTCATAATAAAATATTGAGAAAAATCTAAGTACACAGAATGAAGTTTGGGTTGTTTGGCAGGACACAGGACATATAGAAGGAAATGGAGGAGACGGGGGTTTGGGGCCTGGTTGACAAACTCAATTAGCAATACAGGGGTTTGAGGTACCCAAGGCATCCACACGGAGATATCTACCAGGCGGATGGAAACACAGGCCTGGGGGTCAGGTATTTTTCTAGGCTGGTTCCTAAATACTTCTCTGCCTCTGTGTGTTCCCTCCCACCCACACCCTTTCTTTTCTTCTAGCTTTCTCTGACGACCCTGCACCTCCACATTCAGCACTGTGAGATTAGCTTATGGCACTGTCATATATCACTAAAATGGAAAGTCTTAGGGACAACAGAATCATATAGAATATACACTTTGTACTTCATGAAGCAACTTTCAGACAGTCAGATGGATAAAACCTGCCTTAGCATTTAAATATACAGATTTTTAGGCTCACACTGAATCTTGGATCAGAGGTTAGTTTTGTTCTCCCCACTCTGAAGTGTGTACACATTCTCTCTCTCTCCTTTATCTTAAAAGGCACCTTGTAACTTGTACCTCATAGATAGAAATGAAATTTCCATTCTCAAATTCTTAATATATTTATTTTCAGAATAAGACTTCTTTGCTTTGTTTTATCAGTTTGTAAATTTCTATATATCACTCCATAACAGGGACAAAAAGCTCATTTTTAAAAGAAAACCTTTAGCAACATAGCCATCAGACCCTAAAATCCAATTGTTAAGTAACTTAACTGGTCACTGTTTTACTAATTTTGAAAGGACATTTAAAAAAAAAAAAGTTGGGGCTGGGGATGTGGCTCAAGTGGTAATGCGCTCGCCTGGCATGCGTGGGGCGCTGGGTTCGATCCTCAGCACCACATAAAATAAAATAAAGATGTTGTGTCCGCCGAAAACTGAAAAATAAATATTAAAAAATTATCTCTCGGGCTGGGGATGTGGCTCAAGCGGTAGCGCGCTCGCCTGGTATGCGTGTGGCCCGGGTTYGATCCTCAGCACCACATGCCAACAAAGATGTTGTGTCCGAGAACTAAAAAATAAATATTAAAAAAAAAAAATTCTCTCTCTCTCCTCTCTCACTCTTTCTTTAAAAAAAAAAAATTATCTCTCTCTCTCTCTTAAAAAAAAAAAAAAGTTTTAAAATGAACTCAGAGGACACCTTTCTGTGTCCCAACTGCCAGACAGTTGCTGCTAAGGGAAAGGAAAGAGGCTGGCTCAGCTCTTCCCATGAACTCAGAGGAGTCCAGGAGAAGCCACAGCATTCTAAGCCCAGACTGGCACGACGGGAGGACAACTCTGCTAAGGAGAACCTTTAGTAATTCAAATTGCGATCGGTTCTTCTTTGCGTACCAGATAGACTTGGCCACTGGTATCATTCCACGATGCCCTGACCCTCTGCGCTTGCCTAGGTGCACCTCGGCTGCGGAACTCCAAGTCCACTTCCTATGTGAAGAACTTGTCTCATCCCCTACCCACTGTCCCCCCTTCAAAAAACATGTTACCTTTTCCCCCCTTTCTCTTTCTCTGTCCTTCTCTTCTTTCTTCTTTTTTTTCTCACTGTGCCCATCTGTGTGGAAGCTGGGGGGTGGTGGGGCAGGGGCAGCGGCTCCAGCGTGTGGGACGCTGGGGGGAGGGCCGGGTGTCATYGTGACCTCTCCCACTGCTGCAGTAGACAGTCCCGAACTTCTCTTGGACTTTGAGTGCCTCCTCTCTTTGTGCTTCTCCTTGTCCTTCTTCTTTTTGCTCTTCTTTGACTTCTTTTTCTTCTTGATTTCCSGGTAAGAATCATCTATCACTAACTCGCCAGCTTCTAGCTCCCCGCCAGAGGACGAGTCTGATTCCACCAGAATAGGTTCAAGCCCTGAAAGATCAAGGTTAGCACTGTGGGGTTCGGGGGCCTGGGAGGCATCAGGCCCGCAGCCTTCAGGGCCAGGAGACGAATGTGGGTCTGAGGATGACTTGTGCTTCTTCCGGGCTGTTTTCAGAAAGCTCTGTAACTCGTGTCCTAGGAGTAAAGCACCTTGCTCATCCCGAGCTGACTTCTTGGAGGATTTTTTCAGAGTCGCTTGTTGAGAGGGGTACTGAAAAGACTCCTCATCAACTGAGCTGCTTCCCTTCTCCTTTGGYGAGAGAATAAGTTTCATCTTCAAGCCATCAGGCTCACGGAGGGTCAGTGTCTCTGTGTTTACATAGAGGGGCTTCATTTTTTTGGATTTGTGGGAGCTGCCRTCCTCCAGGGAGAGCTCCCCRCCACTTCYKCTGCCTTTCTTCCGGTGGTGTTCTTTCTTGCTTTCTGAATGGCTTGAGGAGCTGGAGGACTTCTCCCCAGCCTTTTTGGAGGGCTTGGAGCCTGTGGCCAGTGGGGAGGTGATGGCTTTCAACAGGTCCATAGCTGTATCGGCAGGTTGTGGGCTGGACTTCTTCTTTTTCTTTTGTGACGATTCCAGAGACGAAATGTCTGGAAATAATGAAGAGAAGTACTGTCAACAGGACAGGCAGCAACGTCCATCAAGTTTCCTCTCTCACCAAAACACCCGACTAGTATGAGGAAGAGGCTAACAGGAGTGATTTGAAGGGACACCCTTTGATTCCTAATGTTCAGCGATGACGCCCATGTGCCTCCTGGTTTGGTAGTCTGTCTTCAACCCTTGAGACCATCCTTGTCACTAAAGTTGTTTCCCTTCACTGAGTCTTCCACAAGCAACCAGAGAGCAAACCCAGAAGAACCGACTATAGCTGTGGATTAGGGGTAGTTACGAATTACATTAGATCGCAAGTAAAGTATCATTTGATTCTGTGCTCAGGAGGAACTCATTAAGGTAAAACATTAGTCCCATCAGCTATGTGCATAGCATAGCCAAGAAAGCTAACTGGTTTTGTGAATGGATATACACTGGTTGAGAAAAGACCCACAGTTGCAGGCCAGAGGGCCCAAGGACCACATGTGGCAAAAGGGAGGCTAGATAACATGGTGCAAGATAAGTGGATGATGGGGGAGAAGGAACCTGGTACCTGGTATATCACAAATGAAGACTGTTCTTCTATGCTGAATCCTCCAAAATACCAGCCCTCCACCTCTCTCCTCCTTCACACTGGTTTATCGGCACTCAGAACAAGAACCACTGTCCTGTTAAATAGGCCACTGAGTCAGCAACATCTGGACCTTTTCCCCTACCCCGACTCCAAGAACCAGTGATGTGCTTGTCCCGCCTGTCGCCCTGCCCATCCGTACCTGCATAGTAGTAGTCATCAGAGGAGTGCTTCCGCTTCTTCTTGTGTGTGTCCGTCCCCAAGAAGTAAAGCTCACTATCCTGCAATTAGAAGGAAGAATTGGCCAATGATGAGATGAGGAAGGCAGTTTGGAACAACACTTGTTCTTTGACGGTTTTTGACTTTGGAAAACAAAGTAAAGCATCGAAAATAATTACATGTCAACAATGTTTATTTTTCTTTCCTAAAGTTTTAAGAACACACTTTCATTTTCAAATATTAGGAAAATAAGTATAAAAACTTTTCTATCTTAAATGTTTAGAACTTACCTTAAACTTCTTCTTGGAAGAATTCCTGACCTGAGCAGCAATTTCTTCCTCTTCCCTTAAGAAATCTTTGTAAGAACGTTTCTTTTCTCKTTGGCTTCGGCCAGCTGCAAGTCCTATGTCCTCAAAGCTGTGGTCACCATCAAAGCAATCTGAGCAAAGGTTAATTTGGAAAAGGAAGTGAGAATGACAAGTAAGTAGCAACCAAATGTAACAGTGCCTCCATTTCTAAATTACAATTATGTTTCAATAAGTTCACTAGAATATAGGGCTAAACCCAGAGGGAAAAGAATATTTCTTGATGACCTGGCTGCAAACACAAGAATCAAACCTGAAGAAACAATGTTTCCATGCTATGCAAGACTCAAAGTGCATCCTCAGACATAGTTTCTTAGTTGTGATTTGACAGGAAGACAGACTTGCAGAGGTAAGGCTGAAAGTAATGATTTCCTGTGCTGCGCTGCTCTGTGGGCGTCCAATGTGTGATTCCTATCCCCAGACTCCTGCACTGGAGCTGGCAGGACCAAGAGTGCTGCAGGGGATCACCCCAACAAACCAAGGCTCATATTTCAGACTCTCATGTTGGAACCCCTGTCCTGGTTTTCATTTCCATGGGCCCAGTCTGGGGAGGGCGTGGAGGCTGAGGTCATAACAGTGCTCTGGACCATCACTTGGGAGTCTAGGCTGTGATGTCCAGTGCTGGTTTCTACATCCTTGGGCCGTGAGCACTGAAGAGGATACCCCCTTTGGAACGCTTCTCAGGTAAAGGGGTCATACCTTCTTTCTTCATGGAGTCATCATAAGCCATGGCGGTCCTGCAGGGCCTTTGAGAATGTGTCACTGTGTCCAGGCTCCTTCCCGTCTACAGGACCAGGTCTGAGAAATAAAGAAGGAAAACCCTCCTGTAACGCGAAATCTGTGGAGAGGCAACCTTCCAGGTGGAATGCGTAGCGATCCAAGGGCCGACTGGAAGGGCAGCAAGAAATAGAGGAGTGTCTTGTCACCTCCTCATTCTGGTTGTAATTATACTGGGGTTGAAATTGTAGGAGGCGTGTTAAGCTTAATTAGATTTGAGTCATAGTTGTCATTTGGAGAAGTATATAAAATACTTCCTGGATAAAAATTAATTCCAAAATTAATGAGAATTTCTGAAATGCCAACAGGACCAACAACATAGAGACAGGGCAGAAACTGACATGAAGTCAGAGGGGTAGGTTCAATCATGGTTACAAGATGCACAGGTAAAGCAAGATGCAGAGGAAGACAGATTACACCAAATGCTTGAAGACCACAAAATCCTACCAAGTGGATTGGAGAACCAGTAAAACTTATTGCAACTTAAACAGAAATAGTAACGGTATACAGATATTAAAGACTTTTTAATTTTTTGGTTTGTAGAAATATAAAAGTAGCTACACTTCTCATAGTAGTGARTCATGTGAGTTTTCACCACTAACAAGCCTTTTTTAAAGGCTAGGTGAAAAACATGGAGAACTTTCATTTGTCTACAGGTGATGAAATCTGTATGATTTTAAGATTTTTATTGATTAGAAGAATTAATAATTTAAATGTTCTATATATCATATTGAATTTTTAGAACTTCTTTTGGCATTCAAGTTTAGATGTGCATTTGACTTTGAAGATAACATGGCGGTACACGRCACTGGATGGTCAAGTCTTTCAAGGACTTTAGGACAAGCAGTGTGAAGTCTTTCAGGAAAAGTCTTTGCAGGATAAATAGAATAAAGTGTTAAATAGTTTGAAAACATTCTCATACAGTTAGTCAAATGCTTAAAAGTTGACCTGATCGGTCATTTATTTCCATTTTATTTTACTTTCATCATTATAAATGGGATTTAGAAATAGTGAAGTATCCTTCAATGACATAGCAGTAATTCCTTCAGGTAAGTACAAATAATAAGTATGAAAAGATGAATTGGATTAACAAGGGAAACTTTCATAAATTAACATAAAAAAGACTTATTTGTACACTTAGATAAAATGCAACACAAAGGTAAGCCTAAATTGAAAACAGAAGAAAAAAGATATTGCCAAGAATGATTTACAAGATCAAGAAAAGAAGTACAAAAAGTACTTCTCCACTCCCTGGGAAGTGAACTGAAGATCGAACTTGCGAGTAAGAGACACTGGAGTGAAGCAAAGAAACCAATTGGTCAAAGGCAAAATGGGAAACTGCTTGCTCAAAAGGCTTTTTCAGGGGATTGAAGGGGATATAAGGTTAGGCCTCATGGATAGATAACAGCCAGTTTTCATGTTCCTGCATTTAAATACTAATTTTTCTTGAATGGAATCACTATCCTCTCCTTCCTACCCAAATGGTGCTGACTCCAAAATGGGTGAAGGTGGGTCACAGGGGATTATATCTATTGGAATGGAACATCATCTCACTGGCATTACAACAGAGTTTATCAGAAAAATATACAGGCCACTTTGGTTTTCAGAGGCTGACGATACCAAAGAATCAAAACAGCTTGAGCCCTCCAGTTAAATGCTTTTCATGTCTAATGGGTTTGGCAAAGAACGTTTTGAGAAATAATGGCAAAACCAAAAAACACTTCTTCAATCTCATAAACACAGACATCAATCTGTGGTCAAAACAAGATGCACTTTTAAACATAAGCAAAGGCAGGTTCTGAGACTTACAAGCTGGCCTGCCCTTGGCAATCAAAACTCAGAACAGAGTTGAGCAATGTGGTCGGAACAGGAGCAAATGTCTCTGCAGACAGTATAAGAAAGACTTCATAGGTATGAAAAAGCCCTCCTGTCTCACACCTGACTGCTCTGAAAAACTAGTGCACTATAGGAAAAAAAAAAAAAAACAGGTGAAAAAAGGAACAGAAATTAGCAACTGTCCCTCAGAGGCAGGCCAACACAGAAAACATGCTGGTGTGGACATTGTGTGTGAGAATTAGGCCTGATATAGTTTAATTTTTCCTTCTTTTTTTTTTTTTTTGGTACTGGGAATTGAACCCAGGGTCTTAATACCTGAGAGGCAAGTGTTCTGCTACTGAGCTACACCTCCAGACCTAAATCTTCTTAAAGATACTAAAGAGCACTTCATAATTATAGGATTAAATATCTGTAGAAAAAAATGAATGGGACCTGAACACAAATCTAATTCACTAATGGGCTGGGGCAGCCAAGAGCTTGAGAAACAGCATGGACTACAGTACTCCCAGATTAGGAAGACTGATTGGCCCAGAATTTCTAGGCTCTTTAAATCAGGGTATTATTGCAGCTCAGGGGTTAGTTGTGGTTSCTGAGTCATAAAAGAAAGATGATACCAGATAAAGAAGTCTCAAGCAACAGGATGAAAGAGGCAGAATTCAGGCAACATTCATACAAGGTTGGATGAACCCCTGATGTTTCTTCCAGGTCTTAAATATTATCCAAGATAAATTCAGAGTTCAGGGGTAGGGAGAAGATTGTGAAGATTAATGAAAAAAAATTAGGTTTGCTTTTCACGTTAGAAAACATAATTACATTAAACGTTGGCAAATGGAAAAGAGGTGCTAAAACACATTCTCCTGAATTCCATGATTTTGGAGTTTAAAATTTAACATTTTCAATTTCAAGAGGCAGGAACAGTTCTACAATTATGTTTGTCTCAGTGTACTAAGAAATGACAACATAAGTAAAAGTTTATTATTTAATATTGYTTATGGAAGTAAGAAGCATGCCATTGTTAAAAAAGAGCACGAAGGAAACGTGCAAATTGTTAACTGGCTCTTCTGGGACTTTTCTTCAGTGTGGAAAAGGGAAGGTGGAGCGGCTTTTCCACTTGGAGATAAAAATTCAGCTTGCATTCAGGCATAGGCTTTCTGGATGACCCAAGCATTTTTGAAAAAAATTAAAGTCATCAGATGCTGTATTTGTTATTTTTAAAATTCAAGCTGTAAATACTGAAAAAGTTTCAGAAGGTGATTTTTTTGAAATAATCTGAGCCCCAAGCTTCATCCCGGGTTATAAATAAGAACTGAAAAAAGGAAACCAATTAAGCCTTGTGAACTGGGCAGTAAGTGAAACCCTAAGATCCAGGTCTAGTCCAGGATGAGCACTTTGTCCAAGATTGTTCTCCTTTTCCTCTTCTTCCAACACTCCTTTCAGGAACTCACTGCAGGTAAAGGAAGACAGATGCACATCCAGCTGTTGCCAGTTTAGAAACTTTTGTTGTTGCCATTGGTTCTAGGATAGAAGCAGCAGATGTCTTCTCATTTTCACGGTTTCCTCCAATCTCTGGAACGCAGTGGCTCGAATTCTTGCCACTCCCTTGTCCAAGAACCTACCTATGCAGCACTCACAGCCCCTGCCAGCTCTGGAAGCCGCAGATCCCACAGCCCGGGGTGGGGATAGACTCCTCTCATTGCAGCACAATTCAGCGGAACCACGACCACCACACAGATCGGCTGACAAGACACATTTCCGTGAGACCAGCAATACAAATTTTGAGAAGCCTTGTGCGATCAACAGGCTTTACTTTGGGTTGAGTGTTTTTATTTATTCTGCTATGAGGCCAAAGAACCTGCCACCGACTTAGCCGGCAGAGAAGAGAGATAGACGTTTCTTCTCTTTTGCATGATTTAAAATAAAGGGAAGCTACAAGTAATAATTGCAGAGGGATAAAGGGCCTGTAGGGAGAAGATTCCCACTACGAAGGCACAAACTGGGTCGCACGCAAACAATGCACACAGTACCAGGTTGTTTATGCAAACGGGCCCCCAGGACCACCATTTTTGGGGTCMCCACCGCAATCCAATGGGATTCTTCCGGCAGCCGTGCAGCAACAGCTAGTTCAACAAAGCTCTGGGAAGAGGAGAAGAGGAGCTCCGCGCAGCCTCTCCCGCCGGCCCAGGACCCGGCCCTCCCGCCGCCCCGGTCCCGGCCCCTCTCCCCCGAGCGCCGGGACCCCGCGCCCTGCAGCCCGTCCGCCCGGCCCGGTTCCCGCGCGCCGGGCGCCCCCGAGGGCGGAGCCGCAGGCAGGGGGAGGGGCGGCCGCGGCCCGCAGGCCCCCGGGGCGGCCGCACGCCCCCTCCCGGCCCCGCAGCTTTCCCGCCTTCCTCGTTTGAACAGCTCGCGGCCGCCTTCCTCCTTCGGCCCGCTCCAGCCCCTTCCTGGGGGCGGCTGCGGCCGCTACTCCAGTCCCCGGCTCGGCGCCAGGGCTAGGCCGCGGCGGGCCTGGGGCGCCCCAGCGGCGGTGTCGCGGGCCCAGGGCGGCGGGTGGCGCCGGGCCGGGACCGATGCCACCTCGAGGTGGGGGCCCAGCCCGGCCTCGTGGGGGCTCCGCTCGCCGCTACCTTCACTCGGCTCGCCCGGATCCCGCCTCAGCGCCGCCGACCGCCGCCATCTTGGAGAAGGAGAGAAGAGCGCGAGCAGCCAGGGAGCCTCAGTCGAGCTCAGAGCGCAGACTCCGACTCGAGGGGGGGGGGGAAGAGCGCCGAGCGCATGGAATGAATCTGCGCTTGCAGAGTTCAAGTGTTTATTGAGAACTTGCTCTGTGCCAGATTTGGACTAGAAGCTTTCTGAACAGTATATTGTTAAAAACTCACTGCATCCCCGTGAGGTCGGTTTTGTTGCATTTTGCAGAAGAGACGTAGATTGAGAGAGGTTAAGTGACTTGCCCCATGATGCAATTTGGAATGGGAGTCAGGATACAAGTTCAAGTCTTCTGACTCTTAATGCAATGCTTTTCGCAAGACTATAGTATTTCTTTCAAGATATTTTTATTCAATAATCCCCCTACTTGTAAAACCCAGAGCCATGCAGATTAACAGCAGTGCCACTTACTTGTAATTTAGCATCTATATTTGGATATTAGGCTGGGGAGGTGAGGTGGAAGAACATATCTTTGAAATGACACACTGTAAAACAATTTGCATGCCTATTCATCTACATTTCTCTGCCATAAATTATTTTCACTTAAAAGTTTAGAAATGGTCTTCAGAGAGATGAGATGTCATGAGAGAACTTGAATTTTTTTAAAAAAACGCAAATAAAAAGTTTAATTTCAGAAACTGAATCCATCATTTATAAATACACTAAAGCACAGTCCACTCGAATTGAGAGCGAGCGAAGGTACAGTATTCAACAGGACAGCTTCCTAGGGGGCCATGGCAGAGGAGCATACCGCCTCACCCACAGCACCCAATGGTCTGAAGTGAGGAAGAACAGGAACCTTTTTCAGATGTTAAAGCAAACACTTTGAAGACATATTGTTAAAAGAATATGA